GGAATACTTAGACTTCCCAGCAAAGAGAGTCCTAGTGTCTCACCAAACTACAGACCCAGAATTCCATGGGATGCAGCCATGACATGTAAAGTGGAATCATAGTGATATAACCATGTAGGGTGAATGGGTCCATGTTCATGTACAGTTGAAACTGATGTCTAATAAGAGCACTCATAGAGGTTAGCATTTATCTTCCAGAGCTATCAAACTTGAACTATCAATAGCGGTAAATCTTTATTTCAAGCAAATCTGGGTACTCTAGGTAGTTTTACATAATCTGGAATATTTACCTCTTCTCATTCCTATACCCACATCATCAAAGCGATGATTCATATCTCATAGATGATGTGAGAAAAAGCTTAAGAACTTGTGTAAGCATTTGCAGAACAGCACTGGTGATTTATTTTCTTTCTGCTCATGGTTGTTTGGGTCTAAACCCACATTCATTGAGCAAGAGAAAATACTGCATCCTTTAGGGAAGGTCATGTTCCATCCTGTTTGAAGGAAGTGGCGGTTAGGCCACTTCTGAAAAAACCTTCCTTGGACCCTCTAGACATGAACAACTATAGGCCAGTTTCACTACTACCTTTTCTGAGCAAAGTGATCGAGAGGGCAGTCGCTCTTCAACTCCAAGCTGTCTTGAAGGAAACCGATTATCTAGATCCATTTCAAACTGGCTTTAGGATAAGATATGGAGTTGAGACTGCCATGGTCGCCTTAGCTGATGACCTTCATCTGGGCATCAACAGGGGTAGTGTGACCCTGTTGGTACTATTGGACCTCTCAGCTTTTGATACAGAAGATCATAACATCCTCTTGCATTGCCTGAGCAGGTTAGGAATTGGAGGCACTGCACTGCAATGGTTCCGTTCCTTCCTCTTGGTCAGATTCCAGAGGGCGATGTTCAGGGACAGTCGCTCTACAAGGAAAGAGCTTAATTGTGGTGTCCCAAAGGCGCCATCCTGTCCCCGATACTATTCAATATATATATGAAGCCGCTGGGAGAGATCATCCGAAGACATGGGGCGGGGTGTTATCAGTATGCTGATGACACCCAGATATATTTCTCCATGCCTTGGTCTTCAGCTTTGACTTCAGACGGCATCTCTCCTCTCAATTATTGTCTTAAAACAGTAATGGCTGGATGAGGAAAAATAGATTTGAGACTGAATCCAGACAAAATGGAGGTACTTACAATAGCGGCCCCGAACCCAGGTATGGAGATACAACTCCCAGTCCTGGATGGGGTCACACTCTCCTCTAAGGACTGTGTTTGCAGCCTCAGGGTGCTCCTGGATTCATCGCTTCAGATGATAAATCAGGTAAATGTGATGGTCAGGAGTGCCT